CTGTCTCCCACCCGTCCCTCACCTGTCTCTCACACCTGTCCCTCACCTGTCTCTCTCACCTGTCTCCCTCACCTGTCCCTCACCTGTCTCTCTTACCTGTCTCTCACCTGTCTCTCACCTGTATCTCTCACCTGTCTCTCACACCTGTCCCTCCCCTGTCTCTCACCTGTCTCTCAACCTGTCTCTCACCTATCCCTCGCCTGTCTCCCACCTATCTCTCACACCTGTCCCTCACCTGTCTCTCTCACCTGTCCCTCACCTGTCTCTAACACGTCTCTCACACCTGTCCCTCACCTGTCCTTCCCCTGTCTCCCACCTGTCTCTCACCTGTCCCTCCCCTGTCTCCCACCTGTCTCACCTGTCCCTCACCTGTCCCTCACCTGTCTCTCTCATCTGTCCCTCACCTGTCTCTCACACGTCTCTCACACCTGTCCCTCACCTGTCCCTCCCCTGTCTCCCACCTGTCTCTCACCTGTCCCTCTGTCCCTGCAGCTGATTGGATACAGCGAGCAGCCGCTCAGCCTCCTGCTGTTCATCGGCACCGCAGACGACCGCGTCCTCCGGCCTCACTCCTTCTACCAGGTGCACCGCGTGACGGGGAAGACGGTGACCACTTCCTGTCTGGAGAAGATGACGGGCGGCTCCAAGGTCCTGGAGATCCCTCTTCTGCCCGGCAACAGCATGGCCGCCAGGTACAGGAGGGCTTCTCACCACTCGAACACCTCAGAGAAGAGTAGTGGATATCTGAGAGCTGTGATATGTGCTTCCTAATAACAGAGACCTTTAACTGTCTCCGCAGCATCGACTGTGCGGGCATCTTGAAGCTGCGTAACGCCGACATCGAGCTGAAGAAGGGCGAGATGGCCATCGGCAGGAAGAACACGAGGGTGCGTGTTGTGTTCAGGGTCGCCCTGCCGCAGTCGGACGGACGCATGCTGTGGCTTCAGACGACATCCAACGCTGTGGAGTGCTGTGAGTCTCCTGTCGTATCGCTGTGTGTGCAGGGAACACGATAAGAAATACTTTATTGATCCCAAGCTGGGAAACATACGTCTTCATCTCATTCCTCATCTTCCAGCTAAAGTGGCTGCACTACTGGTCCTGGAGCGTTGCTACTATACGTACAAATACACATGAAAGCATGCGTAGTGATCGGCTTAGTGTGCTGTGATGTTTCTGAGAGAGTCACATCACCGTCTTCACGCTAATCGCACACAACTGCACTCCATAGGAATGAAGTGGGTTAGCCCTTCGGTGGTTACCCACTTTACCTAAAAGGGGTTTTATCAATGGAACGGTTTTCTCAAGATCCCAGTTTAGGTTTCGTGAAGTTTTCAGACTGTTTCAGATTTTATAATGGTTGTGTGTGTGTGTGTGTGTGTGTGTGTGTGTGTGTGTGTGTGTGTGTGTGTGTGTGTGTGTGTGTGTGTGTGTGTGTGTGTGTGTGTGTGTGTGTGTGTGTCTGCCTGTCTCTGTCTGCCTATGTCTGCCTATGTCTGTCTGTCTGTCTGTCTGTCTGTCTGTGTGTGTGTGTGTGTGTGTGTGTGTCTGTCTGTCTGTCTGTCTGTCTGTCTGTCTGTCTGTCTGTCTGTCTGTCTGTCTGTCTGTCTGTCTGTCTGTCTGTCTGTCTGTCTGT